CTAATCTCAAAAATGACTCAAGCGATTTTAATACGGTTTTTATTTTAACATTTCGATAAATTTCACTTAAAATTTGGTGTTCCCAGCACAATAAAATCAATTGTATTACGTTTTGTTTCAGAGCTCGGCAAATTCCCACAAAATATAACATCTAACACACAAGCGAGTTACACATGTAAGTAATGCATAATTAACCACATTTAACAAAAAAAGCAACTTAAGAGTGATTCCATGGTATTTATCAAATAGTTAAACGGACGTTAAACGGCTAAACGGACGTCGGAGAGTCTGGAAGAACACATATTTGCTTTTTTTAATTCCACACGGACGGAGTCGCGGGCAAAAGCTAGCTTATAACATTAGTAAGATACAATAATTAAAAAAATAACAATATTCTATTAAAAACCATGTAAAATAGACCTCTGTTTGTTAACATGTTTCATAACCGCAGGGTTCTCGAAAGGCTGGCGCGAGGCGTTCGAGAGCGGGCTGCAGGAGCCGTGGGTGTTCCGCGGCGGGCTGACGGCGGACCTGCGGCGGCTGCTGGCGGTGGAGTGCGGCGACGCGCGCCCGCAGCTGCTGCCGCTCGGCCTGCCGCTCTCTGTGCGCCCCTATACCGCGCAGGATGAACATGCGGTAGCTATTTTTTCTTATGGCAAAGCGACGGCAGCCTATAAACATAGAGAATATGCATGTATTTTTTTTTCTTTTTTTAAACGTATGCACTTGTTATAAAATAACCAGAAAAAAAAACTGACTCGAAAATATTCATCCGTTGAGCTAGAAATAACAAAATAAAATTACGATAATTTTTGTTCCACTAAAACGCGACCGGATTTGATAACATGTTCACAGTATATACTTCAAGAGTGAATTTCTATATAAACTAACGTAAATGAACTGTTTATTGAAGACACAGCGACGCCATATTAGATAAGTCAATTGCTTCGTCCAATAGCTTAGCTTAGTCAAGGAGGGGACGCACATAAAGAGGATATTTCCTCTTCCTATGCCTTTACCTTTACCATCAAATACACTTTTCCTACCCATACTTTTATAAGAAAAGGGAGTTAAGAGAAAGGAACTTTACTGAAGATATAAATTCACATAAATGTACAGTCGTGGAAATCCGCGGTGCTCGCTATAGGAAAAATTGACTTGTTCATTGCAACGATGTGAAACTCCCAGCATTCATTCCAAGCGAGGACTCAGTCCGGTCAGCATTGCAATGTTCATTATATAAATTAATGCTGTCATTTAATTACGTTTTTATTATTTCGGATTTTAATACTTTGTGTCATGTTTTTTTGTCAATTCTTGTTAGTTTGTAGTGTTGATGAGGATTAAATGTTTTTTTTTCAACAAAGTAACTAATAGCAGTGACTATTGCAGAGGTGCAAAGCAAGCTGATGTGCGCGGAAATAATGTAATCTTTTTTTATTTGACTGGATTGTTTGAAAAGCATAGGTCATTTTTTTATTTATATTACAGGTGACAATGTTATGTAACAAAATGTGCAGAGACACCGCCGACTGCGCTGATCTGTTTCCAAGTGATCTGCAGAATTTACCCGCGGATAGGTAAGTGAAATAAATACGGGACGATGACAGATAGCTGATATATTCAGGAATAATATAGGCTACTTTTTAATTCCGCGATCATCGTCGCGTACAATTGCTATTATATAAACAATATGTGTTTTTTCCAGACTGGTGTCGTCATTCCTTACGCTATGTCCTGAACTGTGTATGGTGATAGAAGATGACTCGGGCTGCATCCAGCAAGAAGCAGACACAGAAGTAGAAGTTGACGACTCAGAAGATAAATCGGAGAGTATCGCGGAAGTCAAATTAAATGGTGAATGATTTTTGTCCGACTTACATAAGGGTTTTTATTGGTAACCGTAGATTTCATATTAAGCCTTGTACAGTCGGGGAATCTGATGGTGTTCAACTTAATACGACAATCGTTTGAACATTTTGAAACGAGACGCGGAACAAAATTCAATACAACGTTGCTTATAACAAAAGTCACTTAGTGATACGGTTTGTCTCTTATTATCCCTTAGTTTGTACCCACTGTTATGTAATTAGTTATTTGTAGAAAAAAACGGAGTTTCTTTACTAGGAACATTATCATCATCTTCCTTATCCTCTCCCGTAGTGTCGCAACAGGTTTTTGTCCTCCAAATAACTCTATCATACGTCATGACTGCATTTTTCATCATGTCACCTTTCGCGCAATCCATCCATCTCTTACTATGTCTATCTCTACCACTGTACTACCACATTCATAGTTAACGTTCTTGTTACATGCGATTCATCCCTTCTCATAACATGCCCATACCACTCTAACCTTTTACTCCTTACCTTCTCCTTCTCTCTCTCTCTCTCTCTCTCTCTCTCTCTCTCTCTCTCTCTCTCTCGCTCTCTGAGATTGAAAGAGACGACAATCTTACTAATATTTTTGGATGGATAGATGTTTATTACTACATATCCCCAAAAGAACATTGATTTCGATGAAATATGACAAATGTAGAGCAAGGTCTGGAAGAATATGTAACTTTTTTATTCCGCAGGGACAAACTCGTAAAAAAAAGTTAATCAGCCTTACATATAAACGCAGTATAAAGTTAAACTTAGGTACAAACTGAGTATAAGCAAATGTTAGTACAAATTTTGCTTATACTCGGTTTATTCCCATGTTTAACCGCATTTATTTGTAAGGCAATAAATGTATAATAGCAATGGAATTCTACTTTAATAATGTTATCTCTTTTAGGTATAAAACCGGAGATAGTAGGGTATGCTTGCGCGGCGCTCAACGCTAAAGAGTTCTACAGGAAGCAGGAAGTGGCCTGGATACCGGAGATGTGCCAGAAATACCCGCAGGAACTGCTCCAGAGAGAAGACCTCAGTCCAGCTGCCAAGGTCGGTTGTACTGTCTATCATACTTCATACTAATGTTATAAATGCGAAAGTTTAGATGGAAGCATGATTGTTAGAGTTTGTAGCCTAAACGGCTGAACAGATTTCGATGAAATTTGGTACAGATGTAGAGGATAGTCCAGAAGAACGCATAGACTACTTACTTTTTTTTTTAATAAAGAGTAAACACACACTTCTATGTTCTGTAGGATGTCAGCAATCACACTATATTACACAACTTAGGGGGTAAATAAATTGAAAATAAACGTCATGTGGGAAAGGGAAAAAACTAACAAGGCAATAGCAGCAAAGAAGCAACAATTGCCATTGGCTAATGAAATGAATTCGAATTTTAATGTTTGGAGTTAAATTTTTTTATATAATTTCATTTGTTTTGCGATTTTGGCGGTCCGACCAGCTTCTCTCCAATCGCCTTAAATGGTGTGCCTCTACCAACCTGCTCCGACTTTAAGTACCTCGGTTCTCTAGTCCAGTCCGACGGTGGCGTTGACCGAGATGTAAAAAGCCGAATAAATGCAGGTTGGATGAAATGGCGACAGGTTACTGGTGTGACTTGTGATCCAAGAATGCCTCTTAGGCTTAAGGGAAAGATCTACAAGTCCATCATAAGACCTGTCGTATTGTATGGATCTGAATGCTGGGCACCAAAGTTGCGGATGAAAGGAGATTGCATGTGGCTGAGATGCGTATGTTAAGATGGATGTGTGGTGTGACAAGATTGGATAAAGTTAAG